TATTGTGCACTTTTTAAAAAAACCTGAACATTTAGAGGTATTTTTATAATGAGATCATGAAAAAGGACTGAATGTTAAAATGTCCTCAGTATCCAAAAGGCCTCATCAAATGTTATTTTTCATGAATTATACCCAAACCAATGAGCAGACAATGTGGTATTTGCCTTTTGGAAAGGATTCAGAGTTTGTGTTTGTGTGTGTGTTGACTGAAGAGGCAATTTTCTGTTAGGAATTTACAATATTCCAATTTTATACGAGTATATATTCAAACCAAATAAAGTCAAATGAAACTATGGGTGTTGAAATTAATCATAATTCGTAAGCGTCTTTTGTTTGTATTTTCTTTTCAGAGTGAAGTGGTAGAGGCCGGTCTGTGTCTGAAGCAGTGTTCCCTGAGCTGTGGGATGAAGATAACTCATTCTTTTTTACAGAAAAGATACTGTGAATTAACTGGAAGGATTTGAAATGACGAGAGGGCTAGGCATGGTCCTTTTTCTCCTGATTGTGCACAGTAGAACATCCAGCAAAACAGCAAGAGCTGCCCTGGTCTCACTGATGGTAGAAGCAGGAAGCCAGATGGGACAGGGGTGACCGAGTAGCAGGGTGAACCTTCCAGTGTGAAGCCACTGCTATTCTTGAAGCGCTACCTGTCCCCACCACCATGTGGACACTTTCTCTTTAGTGCTGGGGTAGACTTTCGGGCAGGATCCCGCCTGCCTGTGTTGTTGGAGAGGCGACAGCAGGTGAGGGCGAATTGAGCCAGTGGCTCACTGAAATCCCCCTCCCGCTCAACATTACATTTAATCTACCTCTAAGCAAGCCTGTGAGGATAGGGAGGGCATTTAAGCCCAGAGCAGCATGGGTATGTGTCTACCTTCATGACCTGTAGCTGCATTTCTTAGCAAACCAGCTGTAGGCACATCATCCAATGTCACTGTGTTATCAATAGCTACAGAAAGGAAATGTACATTTTAAAATTATTTTGCATCTCCTCATTGTTCCTATGATTCCTGAACACCTCTTTTAAAAACATAATTCCCTGTGAGTTTTGAACACTTTGCTCTCATTTTGGATAGTTTTTCCATGTATATTTTCACAACCTTCCATCAGGGAATCATTAAGAACCCTAACCATCTGCTAGAACTATTACACAAGTGCTTTTCATGGCCCAGTGTTATGGCCTTCTAGCAGGACTCAGTGTCTTCAGGCATTGATCATAGATCTGATGAAAGATAGTTTTGAAACAGGAAGAACCACTCTCTGAAACAGTTATAAGATTAATGACAGTTCACTTACAGGGTGGGAGAATATTGGTAACTGACTCCGTCATTTGCCTCTCATGAGGGATCAGAATTATTTGTTTTCTCAGGGAAATTGTTGGGAATTTTCCAGGAGAAAGAGTTTGTGGTCCTATAGTGAGAGCTCTTTAGCCTAATATCTCAGTTAGGTTGACCTTAGGTGGAAGTTAGTATGGGGGCAGCTGTGTATGGGGGTGTGTCTGAGTCTTGTCTCAGGTAGATTTGCCTTAAGCTCTTTAGGACCCAGGACTCTGGATAATGTGAAAACTTTCCTTCTTATTGAACTAGAAGATGCATTCATTGTAACGCTGTCTCATTTTGAGGATAGTTCCTCAAACTAGCAAAACAGGTGAATTATCCTTCTTCCTCTTTATTTTTTATATGTCAAGTGTAAGCTTTAATGTATTTGTACTTTTTAGAAAATAATGAAGACTTTTCATGGAAAAGGATTTAAAAATATTTACAATAAATTATTTTTGCCCTCTGCACTGTCCCATTTCCCTTTGCTTCATTGGTGGCAGCTCTCCAGGGCCATGATTTGGGTTGGTGTTTTCTTGCAGTAAATGGTGTTGGAAGTGATCTTTTCATTTCCCTGAGGGCAGCTTCCCCTTCTGAGGGAGTGAGATTGAACTGGGGTGGGCTGAGTCCTCCTCTCTGTTTCAGTGAGTGAAGGGCGGGTGCTTTGATCCCTTCCACTTCCTCCCAGAGCCCTCTCTGGCAGGGCCAGGTGTCTGAAGGGCCTGGGACTGGAAGGAAAGGTTGGTGTATACCTGGGATCAAGACAGGGTTGGTTTTCATCTTCCTTTCTCCTTTGGAAAGCACCAAGATGCAAATACCTTGTCCTGGGTTTTGACCACTTACGAGTCATAGAATTTTCCATAGAGTGCACTCTTTAGCCTACGTGGTGTGGTAAGACCTGAACTCTGTGACGAAAGCATTTGGAGGGTTTGGAAAAAATGGCACTTACATATACACTACTCTGCTATCAGAGGTGAATATTGGTCATCACACATTTTAATGATGAGCATAACGCCTGGTGCATAATAAGGTTTTAACAAATACCTGTGAAATAATTGAACAATTTGAGACTGGTCTTTTGTGGAAGTCTTTTAGATATGGACCGAAAGGATACAGCCAGATCTGAGGAACCTGTCACCCCAACAAAAATTCTATCCACGTGTTCAATTCTTTTTTGCCTCACAAAGTAACTTAGTCCTATAGATTTTTTAATAATGAGTTTTGCAGAAGACTAAAGAAGACACCAGTGTAGAAGAAGATAATAATAAGGAAGGAAACTTCTGGTCTTACAGGGATTCAGGCTCTGCATAGGTGAAACAAGAAACAACGGGCGGGGGCGGGGGGTGGGGGGATGGGGGGTGGGGGGAGGGAGAGAGTCAGGTGTTAAAATTAAATAAAGATAAAATATAGAGCTGTGGATGGTCCTAGGAAAGAGTATCCAGTATAGTATAATTGGAAAAAATATTTGCCTGGGAAGTAGGACATAAACTGACCCTGAATCAGTGGTGGGATTTTAATAAAGAGGGTTGCCTTTCTTTACTTAAGTTTGTGTCTTACTAGGGTCAGGTGCACAGTCTCTCCTTGCCCCATTCAAAATCTGACCAGTGCTGAGAAGAATGGGAGCTATCTCTCTAAATCTTCCTCCTCTGCTCCCATTACTGTAAAATGAGGCAATTCACACTATTACTGCATTGCTGGCAGCTGCATGCAGACACAGCCTTTAATATTTTTCTTTATGATTAAAAAAATATCCTCTTGGTGTTAGAAGGCAGTCCCTCTTTTTATGGTTAAGAAACTAAGGCCTGGACAGGTGGGAGGACAAGCCCAGAGCTCCCCAGTTTCGGGGAGCACAGCTCAGCCCACTAGGCAACCACACACCATCAAGGAGCATGAGGAGAGAGAGGAGAGGGATGAGTTGAGGAGTGTGATCATCAGGCTGTAGAAGACTCTGGGATTATGATGATGCTCAATCCTTCCCCAAGTGCCTTGCAAAAGACCTCCTTGTGGGAAATGGGGAGGGACTGAGAGCTGGGGCATGCTCAGATCCAATGGCTTTCAAGTTGCTTTTTGAACGCAAGACGCTGACTTGGAAGAGAACAGAGTCACAGAAATTTAAACAGAATCTTCTATTTTCTGAAGACTTCTGTGGCGTCCTGGGGCATACCTTTTTCATTCTGCCTATGCCCTTCCACCCCTGAGAATAGCTGTAGCCCTCGTTACCCAAGGTTGTCCTAATAATGTCCACATTTGAATTTATTTGTTGTCAACGGTCGATTTTCCTCACCTATCTTTGCCCTTTTCTTGTACCGCTCTTATGTTCTAAATAAGAATTTGTTCACTGACTCAGGGATTATTTATAGGTACTAGTATGAACGTAAAACAGAAACCACAGAGCCCACAGTAGCTGCATTAAATGTGCCTCCGTGAACTTTGGCTGTGTACAGTTGAGACCAACATGGGGGAGGGGAATTTTCAGATATATTTGTGACTTGAGGATAAAATTTAAATCCTCAGCCTCATTTTTTTTTTAAAAAAAATCAAGAACAGGAATTGCATCCTCAACCCTTTACAACTGTATACAAATATTGTGTGTGTGTGCATGTTCTGTGATGAGGATATACAACTTTCATCAGAAATTCTGAAATCCATAAAAAGGATCAGCAATATAAACAGACATTGTAGGTATTTCAAAGGACTCTTCTACTCAAAAATAATTTCCTCTCATAATCCCTCAAATTTTATTATAAGAACAACTTTCTTTGGTTAAGCACTTATAATTAGTATCTTCCTGATAAAAGGCATATACTGTTTCAAACAGGTAATACTTTCACATGATAAGACTCAAACAAATATAACTTATCATGTTAAGTTGAGAAAATTTGAACCCATCAGCTTCCACAACAGTTCAATATCCAAGTGAAAGTTTCCGGCATAAAACGCAGAATTCTGGGTTTCTGCTGCTAGAGGACTGATGGGTACCCTGGATTGGGTACACCAACCAGTGGTTTCTCTGTACATCATGAGGTTTTTTGTTTCCCTTTGCTCCATGTATTCAGGATCTGTGTTAAATGGTTTACATACATTAGATGTAATCTTCCTGTGTCTGGGTGAAAAGTTAAGCCTCCAAGTTCCATACTCAAGGTCATGGAGAGAGGAAGAGATAGAACCAGGATTTAAATAATTGATTATTTGACTCTGGATTCCACACACTGTCCCCTACACCATGTTAATTTTCTTGTAGAGTATTGCCTGCCACCACCCATGCCTCCTTTCGAACTTGAGTCAATCTTGGCCGAGTGTCAAAATTATGGTTCCATGTGAAAGAGTTCTGCTAAAAACAAGAAGTTAACGGAGGATAAGGTACTAGGATGTGTTTGGCTTCACAAATCTCTTACTATTTTAAAATCCCTAAAATTAAGACAATGCATGGGTTAAACAGGAAGTTGAAAACACAGGTGCGAATATAGAAATAGTCTAATTTGTTAATTGTTGTTGGGCTCACTCATCTAATTTGTGGTTTAATATTTCCATACCATTGTATTGGTACCTGCTCTTATGAGTTACATCAATACCCAAACACATTTCTGTTTAGTTCATCTCATTTCTGATTGTTTAGGGCAAGGGTCTACAAACTAATCTCCTGTGGTACCTCAGACATTACATAAACAAATGACTATGGCTGTATTATTCCAGTAAGATTTTATTTACACAAAAAAAGGCAGTTGGCCAGATTTGGCCCATCAGCCACAGGTTGATGACCTCTCTTTTAGGGGCATACATAATTCTAGGAACCCTGAAGAAAAGATGAGGGAAAATAAATAATCAGAGCATATGAAGAAGTACTCATTTGAGAAGGGATGTGTGTATATGTTATTTTCCCCACATAGACATTTTATGCATATTTTATACAGGACATATTACTTAATATTCATACATACCATAGAGTAGAGTATATTGGAAGTACATTGGAAGAACACTAAATTAGAAGCCAGGAAATCAGATTCCAGATAAGGTTATGCCTCTAACTTGCAACATTACTTTGGGCTAATAAGCCAAAAAAAGATAGTGGGAGTAGGATCTCCAAAGATCTTTCTATTCTATCATTGTTTGATGCTATGATTTCTTTTATTAAGATTTAAATGCCAAGTTAAAAAAAATATATGGACTCAAATCATGTAAAAATTACATAAAATTTTGGCCTGAGACATACTGATTCAACCCATGTATCCAACTAAGTCACCAGCGCCAGAAAATGAAAGGACACTATGCAAAGGACTCATTTAGAGGCATGGAGTGAGCAGAACATACAGGCGCCCACCTGGAAGGCTAGGAGTGAGGAGGTGGGCCCACAGACATGTATGGAATGAATGAATTCCTTGTGACTTCAAAGGACAACCGTGTGGACATTTTATAAGAACCTGGACAGAAGAGCAAAAATCATTGTGACCAGGGAGCCCCACCTGCCTCTGAGCACAGCAGCCATTTCCAAAGCCATTTGGAGCCAAATATGGTCCTTCCCTTCTCAAAGAGCGGTTTTCAGGATCATTGGTCGGTTTTTGGATGTTGAATACTGAGCAGGATCTAAGAAGCCCTGTGGTTTACAAATCATGCTCTGCAGAAAGGGCTGTTGTGTGCAGGTGGCGGTGAGGGTGGGAGAGTTAAGCAGAGCTCCCCACCCGCCAGCTGTTATGTGCTGGTGTGGAACACATGTTGGTGCACTGCTTCATTATGGATGGGAAAACTCAGCCTCAGAGGGGCGTGTATGTGGACATGGCTTTTGCAGGGCATGAGAGGAGATTCTACTGGACACTGAGAAGCTCATATTCACCTTCCGGGGCAGGTGGATGCCTAGGGGTGGGAGGCACATGGAGAAGTGAGTACTCAGTCTCGGTTCCTCTCAGCGACTCTCTGGGCCTCCGGACCTGGCAGGGAACGTTCTCATAGTACTCCTCGGCAGAGTTCCCTGATGGCCTCCTGCCAAGGACCCTGTGATCGATGAGGGTGTAGCACAGCTCCTCTGCAGAGTTCTGGTCAACGTTGTCCTGCTGGTCAGAGAGCCATCATCAAGACTTGGCCTCTTGTCATTTTCTTTACGCTTCAGTCTCAACATATGCTCGACCCTGGGCAAAGCCTGGCTTCCACAAACCACGTCCCCTCCATCTCTTGGCCTTTTTGCCTGAATGGCTGCCCCTCCCCTCACACCTAGCCCAGGCAGCCAGAATGCTCATAGTGCCTGGAGTATTCAGCCTTCCTGGGCCCATCCTCTCTGTCCCTGTTCTGGTGGGACTCCTGGCCATTCCATGTAATTCCCAGTCTCAGGACCCTGAGAAGAGCCCCTTCTTACAAAAGAGAACACTCTCATGACACCTAAACATGACTGGGTTATGATATTTAGCCACCCAGGCCAGATAACATAAAGGGAGATGATGGAAGAGAAGGTCTCATTCAATGACGCCTCAGGAGATTAAAAGCAAAATATACAGGAAAGAGCAGGGATTTGGGGGTGAGGCTTGGTTCTGAATCAGGCCCCTGCCATCTCGAAAGCTGTCTGGCTTTGGGGAATTTCACTTAATCTCTCAGTTTTCTCATCTGTAAAAAGGGGAGGGGGGCGTACCAATCTTACAGGGTTGTGGCGACAGTTATGTGAGATGATGCACACAAAGTGCTCAGCACACTGCCTGGCATGAACTAAGTGCTCAGTAAATGTTAGTTTCTTTCAATAAATAGTACAACAGAGGTGCTGCTGCTTCTGCCATCAGGCCTGCATACATCCCTGGGCTTAGAAGCATGAGCACCTAATGGTTTTCTTTCATGTCTAGATCAGAAGGGGTCTTGCAGGCCAACTACTCCTGCCATTTGGAGTGTCTACATTTTTACCATCAACTCAGAAAAGGCTTAGGGATGCTCATATTACCTGCTGGGTAGCAGTGGATGTTCCTCCACCTGAGAAAGAAAATACACTCAATGAATTTCAGGTCATGGGGAGGTTTGAGTGGGGGACTGGGATACAAGCAACCAGAGAGCCAAGGAACAGCTGGGACAGCCCTTATCAGGGCTACAGCTCATCCCTGGGGAATGGCAAGGCCATTGAAACAAGACACGTCCAGAGCTGTGCTCAGGCTGAGATGAGTGGAGGGAGACTTATTCGGTGGGTTTTCAGTTAAGAAATCACACTTCCCTACCGCCTGCCCTCTCATCTCTTCTTTTTTACACAAAATTCATTGCATGCCTGCTCTGCACCAGGCCTTGAGGAGACAAATAACCAGACACTGTCCCTATACTTAAGGGGCTCACAGGCTAGCACAGGCAAGGGCCTATGAGAGATCTACAACACAGGGGAGGGCTGTAGTTTTTACTGTAGGTGATGGGGGAGGGTGGTAGCGTGGAGGCTGGTGTTCAAGGAAAGCTTTGCAGCGGAGAAAACTCTTAAGCTGAACATTCCCACTCCGGAACCTGCTGCAGATAAAAACAGAAGCAGGCCAATTTTTCAAAAGCAGTTGGCCCTGGCCATTCAGCCAAGAGGCAAATGGACACACTTGCTACCCCTTGCAAACACACCAGCGCAATAGACAAATCCGAGCTTTCACATAGAAGCCTCATGATACCACCCTGCCAGGGAGGTGGGTGTGCCCATGTTAGCCACCTGATCGTACATGTTTGGATTTATTCTTCCTCCCTACCGACACTCAGGAGGCTCATCGCTCCATGAGGTCCCATGGCCCTGCTGGGCTCCCCTGGTTATCCCACAGGAAAAGGGTGTGTGAGTTTCAGCAGAACTGGCCCTGTTTCTACCATGTTTTGCTCTGATGCAGATTAGAGTTTCCTAGGAAACACAATTCCTCTGGGTAAAAGGGCCAGGGGTGGGAGGGCTGTATTATTCACTCACACACCTTACAGGGTTCGTTTCTAAGATTCAGAATGAATAAGCTAGGCTCTCCTCTTTAAGCCCAGAAGGCAAAGGCAAACTTTGTGTTTCTTCTTTAGAAATGCAGTGGCCTGTCCTCAGGCCTATACTTTTTTATTTTCTTTCTTACTTGTGATAACCATTCACCACTCTCTCCTTCTCAAATCCTTTTGTCTCCTTAACTTCAGCCTTGTTCTGTCACCAGAGACCATTGCATAAACTCCTAGGTGGTCTTCCAGCACCTGCTTTTGCCATTCCTGACCACAATTTGTGCTCCGCACAGCAACCTGGGTGATGTCTCAAATGCCCCTTGTTCAAAGCCCTGCAGTTCTCAAGACAGGAGCCCCATTCCTAAATGTGAGCACCAGGCCCTGCCCCTCCTCTGTGTTCTCTGTGCCCAAGCTGGCCTCCTTGCTGCTCCTTCTGAGTGCCTCAGACCTCCACCTTTTGCATTTACTGTTCCCAGTTAACTCCTTCAAACCTAGGAACTAACCGAAGCATATGGAGATCAACAAACCAATCCCTGCTTCAATGATCTCACAGTCTAGTGGAGAAACAGAGCCATACAGGTGGACAAATTGCAGCAAAATGTGTAAGTTTTGTACAGAAATATGCCCACAGAGCTCTGGGAACACAGAGAAGGGGCAGTTTGAAAGTGTAAGTCTATCAAAAGTGAAAATGATGTGAAAGCAATAACTTACCTTCCTTTGGGAAATCTTGCCTGGCTTTAAAAATGTGCATCTTTTTCCTGCAAAAGAGAAGGAAAGTAAATTGCTTGTTTCAAAATTCAGCAACTCTCAAAGGAAATTATACCTTCTATAAAAGTTTATTTTTAACTTTTTCATTTGTTAAAGTCATAGGCCTTTTTTATTACCTTCTTCAGCATAGAGAAATAAGAGGATAGAAAAAAAAAGGAAAAAGCAAGGAGACCAAGTAGAATCTAATATTTTTGTATAAAATTTCTCTCCTCCTCCCTTTTCTAAGGCTGATATGAAATGGATTTAGAGGTGAAGAATTATGGTGATGTTATAGTAGTATTTTTGGAGATTTTTTGACAAAATATTAATTTCTTTCATATCATATGAGTTAAGAAGCCATTGATATTTCAAATCCCAGCCTTAATCCCAATCTATGATCTCTAAACAAACAACTGAACAAAACAGATATGTCCAATCTGAGCACAGAGGTAACCACACTATATAGATGACCCCCTGGAAAACACACAATATAAATATAATAGAAGCCCTATCATCTCAGGAATCAAGGACGGCATCTGCTCTAAGGAGAATGGCCATATGTCCTGGTTTGCTATGACAGTCTAGTTAAATGTTGTTACCAATTATTTTTGGCATCCCTGTCACTCTCAAAAGTTTCCCAGTTTGGATAATGAATTATATGATCACTCTGGTTATAAATTTTCTGTGCAAGGGACAGAAATGTGTGCTGTCCACAGAGATGCTGGGATTTGCAGGTGTGGGAAAGGGGTCTTTCTTTGCACTGGCAGCCAGTTTCATCCTTGCTTCCGAGGCTTTCCCATTTGAGGAGCACATACCACCCATGAGACTCTTGTTCCTGTTTTTTAAGCAAACTTGAAACATCGCTTTCCTAAGTCAGATGATCGTCAGGGCTAGTGACAGGCTTCCGCTGTGGCCACAGACAACAGGGAGTTCACAGGTAACTTACAGCAAATACCACACTCAAACCACACGTAGGGAAATAACTCCTGAAAACAATACTCCACTCACCATGGGAGGCAGAAACACCCTTCAGCCATGTGGCGGCCCCAGCACCTAAAATACCGGAGAGATGACACAGATCACAAGGTTGGTTTCTACAGCTTTGTCAGGGTCACTCTCTTCCCTGTGACATTTCTGTGAAAATCTTTTTTCTCTCTCCAAGAGAGCATTCATTCTTGGTGACTTGGACACATCTATCATACTAGGATGCCTTGGTCCTTTCAGGACATCAACTGCCCTTTGGAAATATGAAGATGACACTATCCACTCCTAATTAGGGAAGAAGCCTTCTTCTGTGTTCTCAGAAAAGGAAAAAGGCTCTCATTCTCACTTCCAGTGAGTTACTTGGTCCCTGGTGATGATGGACACACAGAGTTAACTCCAGAAAATCAAGGCATAAGTGTGCGTAGATTTTAGAAATTGCTTCCAGGTACGGGCTAGTTAATACTTACACAGGATTCCACTGCACTCTGAATTTCCTCTGGACACACTATATTATAATTGCCTGCTCACTTGTCTTTATCCCACACTAGACTGTGAGCTTCATACATGTGGGGACCATGCTTAACATCATGGTATATATCACCAACATATGCCACAGTACCTGGCACACAGAAAATATATTTTCAATAAATATTTGATAAATGAATAAGGAGCTAAGAACAGAGCAACGCTAACTGGCTCAGGAGATCATCAAATCTGCCTTGTTATATTCTTTACAGTAGAAAGGCCAGATCTCCCTGCAGGCAGACATCTAGGCTGAAGTCTAAAGTGTCCTCTGAGCATCTTTCTGAAGATGAGGTGCAGTGAAAGCCCACATTAACATCGTGTATTCCAGGAACACTATGAAAAGACTTTTGGAAAACACCACCCAACAGTATCTTCCCCAGTGAGCTTTCCCAGGAAGTTCACCAGAAAGGGAAGTGGAGGTGAGGCTGCTGCATGTGACCTTGGCTGTGGGCACTAGGGTGGCTGAGTATTCGAGGGTCAATGTACCATCAGAGCCTTTGGGACTGAGAATCATGGCTATAGTGTTTCCTTCTCTTTAGGCTATATTCAGAGTACTGTAAGACATTTGTTTATATCTCCTGTTTCTGTGGCTAAAGACACACCAGAAGAAAACCATCAAATCATACCAAAGCTAAGAAATCAGATTCACGGGAATGGGATGAAAGGAGTCTATTGATTTTGAGTTACTGGCTCAATATCTCTGGCCTTCTTGAACCACAGTTTCTTAATCTATAACAGTGATGGCGAACTTTTTGCGCTTGGCATGTCAGCATTTTGAAAAACCCTAACTTAACTCTGGTGCCGTGTCACATATAGAAATTTTTTGATATTTGAAACCATAGTAAAACAAAGACTTATATTTTTGATATTTATTTTATATATTTAAATGCCATTTAACAAAGAAAAATCAACCAAAAAAATGAGTTCACGTGTCACCTCTGACATGCATGTCATAGGTTCGCCAGCACTGATATATAACATGAGGATACTTACACTGCTTACTTCATGGAGGTCAAGTAAAGTTAAATATAAGCTAAAGCTACTTTTAAACCAGCTATTTCCCCCACTCAATGTTTCGGCAATGTGTTCCTGCATTTTAATTCAGATGTTTTGGTTTGGGGTGGGTTCAGATAACCCCTGTGAAGGAGGCCAGACAAATGTCTATGACACAAGGCTATGGGCCAGCAGTTCCAGGTTCCCATCTCTTGCACAAAACTTGCCTGTCTCACCAGTCTACCTGATATCTCCCTTGTTATAATGTCCATGGCCCTCTGTCCTGTTCCATCATTTGGAGTGCATGAATTAACATATGTCCTTAGCTTACAGTGAAGAAATGCATACTATTGGGGGGAATCTCTGGGACCCTAATTCTTAACCCAAGATTTGGCTTAGTGGTTGCTTTTTAATTGATATTCTTTTAAAACCTTGTCTTGAAATCATGGGGAAAGTGCAGAACACTACAGGCCACAGAACAACTGGCTTTGGCACCCTTTGGAATTCTTGGGTTCAGGGGCACTATTTCCATACATTAGTGATTCCTGGCATTCAGAGGACCTGGTTAGAGAGGACTGATGAGGACGTCTTGGTTTAACAGCATCCACGTAATCACACACATTTTGCTCCACAAACCTTCCAACAATTGTAGTGATGAGGGGGATATGGCCATTTCAGAAATAGAACCTTAGAGCTTAAAAATGAAATGTCTGGGATGGAACTTGAACACAAAGGTACTTGAGGTAGACAAGCAAAGAGACGATAGAAAATAGTTGTTAGCAGTTACACTAAGCTTCTAGCAAAATGGCACATCTCTTGTCCAAAGGTTCACAATGATGTTGTCTTATCTTGTCTCCTCATTTACTATTATTACAATTGTGGTTGGGTCTAAGCAGGGTCCTCTATGGTGGGGTAAGTGATGTCCAGGATCTGACCGACTTCACTCTTCATGGGCAAAGGTTGGGAGAGGTCCTGCTGGGTTTGCTCTGACCTGGATGTTCTCTGCTTGAGGTTTTGGTTTCTCAGATCCCAGGGTATCTCTTGAGTGTTCTGTTGCCACCTAAAACTCAACATACCAGGACTGAGTTAAGTATTTCCAAGCTTCCCACCTCTCTTCATAATTTTTCCAACTTTCCTTATTCTGCTATTTGTGTTGTAACCCCAGACCACCTCAGCTTCCCCTTTTTGCCTTCACTTATGCCTTCCTAAAGCATACACCATGATCTTTGATCTGACCTTCTCTCCATTACCATAACAAGAGCCTGTCAATGTTTACTATGCACAACCAAGCCCAAATAATTTGTTCCCAAATGTCTGGAATTCTCATGATAACCCTGAGACTATCAGTATTTAGAAAGGCTTATCTGCTTGATGTAGTTTTAGTGATTATACACAGGAATGTGGGAGGACACTGGTTTTGTTTCATGTAAATTGCCTTCTTTCACAGAAAGCACCAAGACAGAGAGAATGGGATAAAATGGGGGGAAAAGGTAAATTAAGAAAGCAAAAACAAAACAATAAAAAACCCCACACACTAGCCAATTTGGCTCAGTGGATAGAGTGCTGGCCTGCAGACTGAAGGGTCATGGGTTTGATTCTGGTCAAGGGCATGCATTTCGGTTGCAGGCTCAATCCCTGGCCCAAGTTGGGGTCCCTGTCCCTTCCACTCTCTTTAGAAATTAATGGAGAAATAGCCTCAGATGAGGGTTAACAAAAACAACAAGAAAAAAAACCCACCAATAAATTGTTTTATTGTTTGGATTGGGTTTTTGTACAACCATCTTTTCATTTGCTGGAGGTATAGATAAAAAGAAACTAATAATTAGACACTACTTACTATATGTTAGCTACTTACTAAATGCTTTATACATATATACCTATACACATTATAAATACTAGTTATTATACTATACATACTTACTAGATATACTATTCATACTATGTATACTACTAATAAAGGTATATAATGTATATGACATATACACTTTCTATTTAATCCCAGAATAAATTTATGATATATACATATATTATGATTATTTTTTTACTAATGAGGAAACTGAGGCCAAAAGTTTGGCAACTTGTCTGAAGACCCCCCAACCAGTAAGTGGAAAGGATGAATTTGCTTTTGGCTAATTCCTATTTTGATTTTAATGAAGATGATGGTCAAGAAAACTACCTTCTAATTATTGAACCCTCCTATGTATCAGGAACTATGCCAGCATCACACACATTAGAACTCTCCATGGTAGATATTGTATTACTTTTGCCATTTGAAATGAGGAAACTGAGGCCCAGAAAAGTTAAGGTAAGTTCTCTACCAATGTCAATGACCCCTGTTTACCTGTTGCAGGAAGTGTGGCAGACATGACCTCATAACGGCAGGAAGCTTGCTATTTATTTTGAATTTAAATAGTGATTAAAATGATGACAGTGTTGCCTGACCGGGGTGGCTCAGTAGTTGATTGTGGACCTATGAACCAGAAGGTCATGGGCCAAACTCCAGTCGGGCACATGCCCAGGTTGTGGGCTCAACCTACAGTGTGAGGTGTGCAGGAGGCAGCTGATGGATGATTCTCTCTCATCATTGATGTTTCTATCTCTCTCACCCTCTCTCTTCCTCTCTGAAGTCAATAAAAATATATTAAAAAAAGAAAAAGGTGGTAGTGTCTTAAGCTTCTTGTGGTGCATTAAGAGCTCAGGAGAGCATCCCTGCCCGGGCCTTGGAAAGTTGTTCTACTGCAGAGACCTCCCTTGATAAAGTCCTCTCCTTTCAGGTGTTTTCGCCAGTTGCTTCTCCTTCAGGAGAAGGCTAAATCTATAAGGAATTGAAATTGGTGTCTGGTACATAGCAGGCACTTCACGCTTCTCAGTTCTTATTCAATTCCCTTCCTCCCTCTTCTAAGAGCAGACCTCTTTTTCTATTTCTGACTACATTGCCCTGACCCATCTCCTCTGGTCTTTCGTAGGGAGTCTGCACTCACCTGTTTTCCCTCAGCAGAGAGTTGCCCATCCTCTCAGTCCTCCGGTGCCTTCTCCTCAGCCTGCCTTGCTCTCTGACAGGGCAGCTCCTGAAAGAGATAGGCTGCGTTGTTCTGGCCACCAGTGCAGAGTGAGCTAAAAGGAGAAGACTATCTCTCTGCAGAGGGGAGGAGCCCGAAGAGAAAGTCAGAGGTGCACACGTGCACAACTTCCTAAAATGTCAGAGCCTGAAAGAACCAGCCTATTGTTCTTAACAGAAGTGTTGGTCAATGAGAGCTCGGAGCCCTTGGGGAAGCCCCATTTGCAATTACAGACCAGCCATGCAGTTTTCCCATCAGACACCTAAATTTATTAAACCGTTTTCTAGCCTTCAAAAAATGAGAAGGGAGGATTTGATTTTAAGACAAGAGAAGTTTAAAGCAAATTAAAGTGAAGCTGCAGACCAGTAGAAAATAATAGCAAGACATACATCAGATAAAAAAAATATTTTTATTCAGAATATATAAAGACTTTCAAAACAAAGAAGAAAACAGACACCCAATAAGAAAATGGGAAAAAAATATTTGAACAGACTCTTCATCAAAGGAAATATACTGATGGCAAATAAATACATGAAAAGACGCTTAACACTATGGTCATTAGGAGAGGTAAATCAAAACCACAGTGCAGTACATTACATGCCAGTAGAATGGCTAACAGTGAAAACAAAAACAAAAGCCGATAATACCAAGTGTTAGCAAGGAATGTAGGGCATCTGGAAGTCTCATGCATTGCCCATGGCAAAACAATGTGGCAGTTTCTTAAGAAGTTAAGCATAGCCTTGCCGTACAATTTAGCAATCCCACTCCTAGATGTCTATCCAAGTGAAATCTACACTAATAAGAGACAAAGATGCTAATTGACTATACCTTTGCTATGCCCTAAGCCACGCCCACCAGCCAATCAGAGCGACTATATTCAAATTAACCTAACGAAGATGGTGGCGGCAGCCAAGGAGCTGGAGCAAGCAGGAGGCTTGGTTGCCCCGGCGATGGAGGAAGCCAAGCTTCCTGCCTGCCCTGAGCTGGCTGTGACCTCCCCTCATGGCAACAAAGTTTCAATTATAGAAGACAAATAAATCCCAGATACCTGCTTCCAGTCAGCCTCCACTGGGAGCTTGGGTGGCTGGGGGTTGTGGCCAGCCTGCAAACAGCCATCATCCCCTATCCAGGCTGGTCACACCCTCATGGAGTGAGGGTCCCTGCTGGGGGGTTTGGCCAGCCTACAAACAACCATCAGCCCCTCACCCAGGCTGGCCAGGCACCCCAGGGAGGACCCTCACCCAAAAGGGACTGTGTCCAGCCTACAAACAGCCATCAGCCCCTCACCTAGGCTGGCCAGGCACTCCTATATAATAAAAGGGCAATATGCAAATTGACCATAACAGCAGAATGACTGGGAATGACTGGTCACTATGACACACACTGACCACCAGGGGGCAGAAGCTCAATGCATGAGCTGCCCCCTGGTGGTCAGTGTTCTCCAACAGGGGGAACTCTGCTCAACCACAAGCCAGGCTTATGGCTGCCAGTACAGTGGTGGTGGTGGGAGCATCTCCTACCTCCTTAGCAGCGCTAAGGATGTCTGACTGCAGCTTAGGCCTGCTCCCCGCTAGCAAGTGGACATCCCCCAAGGGCTCCCAGGCTGCCAGAGGGATGTCTAACTGCCAGTTTAGGCCCAATCACCCAGGGAGTGGGCCTAAGCCAACAGGTGGTCATCCCCGGAGGGGTCTCAGACTGTGAGAGGGCACAGGCCGGGCTGAGGGACCCCCCAAGTGCACAAATTTTTGTGCACCAGGCCTCTAATAAAATATAAAGACCTCCAGGGAACCTGCATGCAACGTTAATAGCTGCGTTACTTTAATTCAATGGTTCTCAACCTGTGGGTCATGACCCCTTTGGGGGTCGAGTGATCCTTTCACAGGGGTCACCTAAGGCCATCGGAAAACAATAATTACATATTGTTTTTGTGATTAATCACTATGCTTTAATTATGTTCAATTTGTAACAATGAATATACATCCTGCATATCAGATATTTACATTATGATTCATAACAGTAGTAAAATTACAGTTATGAAGTAGCAAGGAAAATAATTTTATGGTTGGGGGTCACCACAACAGGAGGAAATGTATTAAAGGGTTGCGGCATTAGGAAGGTTGAGAACCACTGCTTTAATTACTTCACAAAAAGTGATGGCTCAAGTGTTGCACCCACAAAAAGGAATACTGCCCAGCAATAAAAAGGATTGGACTACTGATGTATGAAGCAACATGGCTGAATCTCAAATTATGCTAAGTGATGCTAAGTGAAGGAAGCCAGACTTAAAGTCTACTTTTTGTGATATTCAGGTCAGGACAAGGCCAAACTGTAGGGACAGAAAACATATCAGTGGTGGCCAGGAGAAGGGGTGGGGGAGGGGTAGACTGTCAAGAGGCAGGAAGAAATTTGTTTTTGTTGTTCTGTAATTTGTGGTAGTAGTTCCATGACTACATGCATTTCTTATAATTCAGAGAGCTGTATACCAAAAAGGTTGCATTTTTACTGTATATGTCTCAATAGAAAAATGAGGTTAAAAAAAGAAATAAACTAGAAGACAAGAATCATATATTTTTTTATTATCTTTACTAGAAGCCCTGTGCACAAAAATTTGTGCACTGGCAGGGGAGGGGGATCCCTCAGCCCAACCTGTTCCCTCTCACAGTCTGGGACCCCTGGGGAGATAACCACCTGCTGGCTTAGGCCCGCTCCCCGGGTGGCAGATGGCACGCCCAATCCTGCAGTGTCTGCCCTGTCACCCCTGGTCACAGATGGCAGGCCCGGATCCCACGCAGGGGTGGGTGGCAGCTGGGGATCTCACTGCCGCCTGCCCGGCCAACCCCGCCCACCCGGCCCAAGACCCCAGATCCCGCGCTGGGTCAGGTGGCAGCTCAGATCACGCTGCCGCCCACCCGACCACCCTGCCCTCCCCTCCCTGCACACAGCAGGCCAGGATCTAGTGCTGGGGAGGCGCAGTGGGATATGCCTGCAGTATGCAAATTAGCCACCATCTTTGTTGGCTGTTAATTTGCATATTGCACTGATTAGCCAATGGGAGGCATAGCAAAGGTACAGTCAATTACCATGTTTGTCTATTATTAGATTAGATATTTGATAGCTGGTTCCAGTTTGGTCACTCACTCATTTTTCTATTCCTTCAACAAATCAATTTTGAGCATGTACTGTATTCTGGACATCGTGGGTTCAATGGTGAACAGAGCAGATACCAGCCTGCCCTCATGGAACGCCTTGAAATAAAATAAAAGGAAACACAAAATGCTTTATTGCTTGTCCTGGAGTAATGTAGAGGGCATACCTATAACAGTCAGGAGCAGCATGGGGAGGGAGCTTAGCAAAAACAGTGTTGGAGAAACTGGGGTACTAGTTGTGCCATACCAGACTCATCACGCATCACTCTTGCTCCCATAGCTGCTGTCTTTATGGGGGATTTCCTCAGTTTCCTTCTGCACTACCTGGAGGTCAGTGGCAGGGAACAGACTTTCTCAGCATCATGGAGGAAAGATAAAATGGACATGAAAGCTTAGCCAGTGAGTAGGACTGTTGTCAACTCCTCACCAGTGAGAATTAGTCTGTCCCAACCCCTGGGTATGGCAGCTTGAGCAAACAGCATATACCCTGCCCCATAAGTAGTTCAATTAGTTCCAGGATTGAGCAAAGGTTTTTTGTTTTTGTTGTGTGTGTGTGTGTGTGTGTGTGCTTTGAAGGTTTCAAATGTACTTTATTTCTCCAATCATGCCATATTTTTTTAAAATACATTTTATTGATTTTTTACAGAGAGGAAGGGAGAGAGATAGAGCGTTAGCAACATCGATGAGAGAGAAACATCGATCAGCTGCCTCCTGCACATCTCCTACTGGGGATGTGCCCGCAACCAAGGTACATGCCCTTGACCGGAATCGAACCTGGGACCTTTCAGTCTGCAGGCTGATGCTCTATCCACTGAGCAAAACCGGTTTCGGCAATCATGCCATATCTTAATGGGTACACAGTGCTTTCACTTGCCATCACTTTTGAGTTGGTTTTGAAACAATTCATTATCACACCAACTGGGGTGATTACTAGTCTCTCTATTCCTTTGGGTTGACTCTGCCAACAGGGGACAGGTCCCATTCTATTCCAGTTTGTGTTGCTGTCGGGTGCAGCTTGATCCCAGGCCCTGGTTGGGGCGCATGCAGGAAGCAACCAATCAATGTCTCTCTCACATCGTTGCTTCTTTCTGTGTCTCTCCCCCTCCTTTCCAGTTTCTATATGTCCATGTAGCAACACAGACAGTGGCTCCACTAGCTAAAATAGCATGGCTATACTTGTCATGGAAATCAGGTGTCCCTTTCTGGTGGATCCGCCTTGCCTTTGTTTGTTGAATGCTAGGAGAGGAACTAGGAGAAGACTTAGCGCGTTTTTGGCCAACGGAAACATCGAGAAGCTGAAGACAACACTGCGGCAATTGCAGCTGCTGGTTGTTGGAACTTGGAATCAAATACCCTTGTGGAGAAACCTCTAAGCAAAGGTTTTTGTTTGTTTGTTTGTTTTTTTGTTTTGGGGGGTCCAGAGAGTCAAGCCATAGGGGTAAGTTGTCTGAAATTAATCTGCTTTATAATGTAAGGATAGGCTAGGAATTGCTCTCCAATTTTCAAACTTCAGTTCTACTCAGGCCACTAGGTGGAGAAGCTGAGCTATGGAAGCATTAGCTACTAATCATGAAAATTTCCTATGATTGTGTAAGCTGGCAGGAAAGAGCAGGACATTTATATTATACATATTGATCACTGAGAAACCGACTCTGGACTAGATAATCTACCTCCTCTCCACAAATAAAAGTATAGCAACACATACATCCCACACAAAGAAGCCAAAATAACAAATCTTTGAATATTACAGTCTCTCTTTATTCTCCTCAGTGTATAAGCATACCCCAGTGCCTAACACTTAGGAGAAACTATATAAATTGAATTCGAAATAAAAGCCTGGATATTTGCAAGCAGATGATGAAATTAGAGGAAGGTTGAGCTGGAATTTTTAAATTTACTTAAATTTAAAAGTTAAATTTCCTATCCTTTTAAATTTACTTTCCCACCCATTACCATAGAGAATCAATGG